AAAAAAAAAAAATACTTGTACTCTATTAGTTTGATTATGTTTATTGGTACGATTTAACAACTTATCATTTCATGCTTTATTTACAAGTTGAATACGATTTCTAGTTATTTTCTTAGTCAATAGACAACTCTAGATACAATTATATGATTTAATCTATCAACAACATTGAAACTAAAGATCATTAGTTCTAATAATTAACGCACATGTAAGTTTATTTAGACTAAATCATAATCTCACTTAGCATAGAACTGAAAACCCTTCCTAATCGACTATGTTATTTGCCACAAACAATGGATAACCTTCGTGGGTCATCAATTATATCGAACCTCGACCGGCAACCCCCTCCTTGAATCTCCCCCAAACTTCCCAATTTAGAAGAGATTGAACCTACTTTCTGCTCTTGATCGGCCTTTTCCCTTGCTTGACCGGGCCTATACGCCTGCAAAACTAAGTTATGAAGTAATACGAATATAGTTGCTCTTTAAACACACGTTATGCACATAATCCTAAAGATCCGAACTTTGCAAAAAAATGAATTCACCAAGTGTTCTGATACCACTTATTAGGGTTCTATGAGGAACGTTGTATCATGGAAGTCACAGATCTAATCTACAAAAATAAGCCTAAGCTCAGTATCTAAAGGTGAATAGAATACTTACGGTTTTGAGATGTACTTATTGCCTCGTCCTCATCGACTTGCACGTGTGTCTGATCTCCTAGACTCGACAGGGCTGCTCACATCAGATGGTTATGCGAGGCTTGCGGCTGACATGCATCGTTCGAAGGTGCGTCACGCCAGTCACCTCGCTGCTGCTGTGGCTAGCGATGGGTGTCGCTCGACTGCGGGTTGCGGTCGTGGCGTATGGTGGCGCGGGGCTACGGTCGCGACGTGCGGTGGCGCGAGGCGTGCAACTGATCATGGTGGTTCATAGGGTTTCTCGGGTGACCTTAGATCTTCTGTTGTATGACCCGACAACCTCTCCGATAATCTTGGTGGGCGACGTGCTCAGAGATCTCTAGATTGGGATTTCTAAGAGACTAGGCGTGTGTTTATGTTTGTATGCTTATGTCTCGTAAATCCCAATATATGTAGTGTATTTATAGGCTAGAACAATGATTTAAGGAGTAGCTAATATTGGTTTCTCAAGTATGGGTCTAACTGTAGGTCAACCCCACTCTGCTCAGACTTGAATAATATTTCAGTATACTAAAGAAATATTATTGCATTCCCCATTCAGTGCTTGAATTAAATTTGAGGCTCCAATTATACATATTCGATTATCACCCTGTGTTTAAGATATAATGTTTGTCAATTAATTTAGTTGCTGCTAATATAATTAGTTGACTCCTTGAACAGAACCTAGTACCAAGCAGTTCTTTATTATTATGTTGAAACTCAATCCGCCTACACGACTTAACATAATAATTCTTCTTGAGCTCACTCCGAGGATATCATCAGACTAAGCACACGGTGACTGTATAAATTTGAACAACACACCATAAACACAACATCACTACCAACTCATATCATACTATTGACTCAACATAATGGATTTCACTTTTTATTGAATCAAAGTAGTAGCTATTGAATGCATATGTCTGTTTATATCTTACGGGTTCAGAGTATGCAATAATTAACCGATGTATAATTTTTTTACTTGGTCAGTATAAAACAAACTTATCCTCTCTAAGATCCATTCAATGCACAAAGTGTACTACTGAAATCAATTTGTCAAGAAATATTGTACAATTGACATTACAACCATTCACGATGGGTAGTTTATTTCCATCTAGGATATGAACTAATTATTCATGTTTTACAAGTAACTAATAATATGATCTTTTGTCCATTCGTGATGAACCATAATTTATTTAAGTGTAAAACATCAAAAAATACAACTGTTTAATTAAACATGATTCTCATTCAACAGAAAATAGTGTAAATAGCTCATAAAGCCAAGTTTTTAGTATATATACTAACATGATCTTTTGTTCATTTCTTATGAGCCATATCTATCTAATGTATAACATCAGAAAGTAGACCTGATTAATTAAACATTATTCTCATTCAAACGAGGATAATGTTTACATAAAGCAAATCTTTCATATACACACTAACAGGTCGGGCGTCCGATCTCGTCCACTGCCTCAGCCACAATCTCATCCATCTCCGGATGTGTGAGCTGGATAACTTGTCATACTTGTGGACCTCATGTCCCCAGGGGTTCTATAATTGCACTTCTACCTACTCTTGAGGTCGGTTGACCCCTGGATAACCCTGTTGTTGCGTCTCGATGTCCTGAGCTGCTACCTGCCCCTGTACCTCCTGAACCTCTATCTCTTGTTGGACGACCATCTGCTTTTGCCTCACTGGAGGTTTCCTTAACATGTTTGACACTGGGGTCAATGTCATATGGGGTGTTGCCAATGTTTCCTAAGGCTTGATGAGTGCGCCAGTCGACTTCGACGACCCCATGGGGGGACCTGTCCCAATTGTTCGTGACACCCAAGCCTCATCCATCTCCTTAGTTGCATTCTTTTTGTGCTATAACCCGTCATGATCTTTGTCTTCAAATTCCTGAGAAACTTCTTCTGAGAAAGCGATTAGTCTTCTGTAGCCGGTAAAAGACTAAGCTCTTCCCATAGACGGCCAAATTTGATGTGCAAATTTGTCTCCGGCCAGATTAAACTGGGATATCACGACAATTGCTAACTTTGAGCTCTGTAACTTCCAAGTCGCCAGGGAGGTGTCCCGACGGAAAACCTCAGATGCTCAAGTCAGTATGTGCTTGTGACAAAAACGAAGAATATATGCGCTAATGTGTATTTATGCGTTGTGTGGAAGATAAAAACATGGTTACCCTTATATATTAGAGCGTCCTAACTAGAAAAGATATCAACTCGTTTCCTAACTACCACGCCTCTAGAATTTTAGACTCCTTAAAGGATTCTTCCTCTCTTTCTATACGATTTTGAGGTCCTTGAGGTCGCTAGAACGACCTCGCCACCTACCTGCCTTAAGCTGCGACCAGGTTATAGCCACGACCTCAAACCTTACGACATTCATGCTATGAGGTCTCTGCATATAATTGAGCTCTCCAACCAGTACCTTGAGCCACCTAACCTGGCTCCTTCACAAGGTTATGTACTCAGAACATGCTGAGCTCCTTTGAACCGGCTGCATCCGAGCTATCTACTCTAGTTGATTCACCGAGCTATTCTGGTTGCTATATCACTCACCTTCTTAGTACATTTCGAAAAATCCCATTTCCAGCCGTTAAGTCCACTTATTTAGATAAAGTGGGTTGGAATGTTGAAGTACATAATCCTCCTTATATATAATTTTAGAATGCGTCGAGCCTACGTGGCTGTTTCTGGTGCTTCGAAATCCTACATGGCGAAGAATCATGCTTCGTAGTTAGGTTTGGACAAATAATATTATATATTAATAATTAATAATCTAGGTTCGGGTATTCTATAAATATTATTTAGCTAATTTAGGCATTTTAATATCAATTGTACTAATATAACCCTTTAATTCTTTGTAATTTTAGATAGTGAGTCACTATGTGACTAATATATCCCTGGCTTTTGATTTGTTTCCTACAATTAGCTATTGAATTGTAAATGTATTTTAAAAGTTGATAACTTTTGAATTTCTTATCGGTTTTACATATATAATATATTAAATTAATCATCTTTTGATTTTTCGATTTGACATCCATATTGTATATATAAAATAAATAAATTAGATTTATATGTATAATAATAAAAATTAATAATATTTACTAAAATTCATTAGAAAAATAAAATTATTTCTCAATTGATGTATTTATGTTTAATGTAGTTATATGTTGTAAGTTAAAAATTATTATAATATAACACAAGTAAGTCGCACAAATAAAAAGTGTCATATTAAATATAATAATATTAATATTTTTAAAAGATACTCAAATTTTCAACTACCTTTTTTCAGTAATTTTAAATTTTAAGAAAAAAATTAGCGAGCACTCGTGTAATACACGGGCGTTTGTACTAGTGTACAAGGGCGGAGCCACCCGAAGGCTAGGGTGGGCTCCAGCCCCATGTAATTTTTTGCTACCCTTATTTTTGCTAATCTTATTTTTCTAAAAAAATTTATACATAGACCCATTAGCCCCATGTAATTTTTTATATAGCCCCATTTAATTTTTGGGCTGAATGACTCAAGATTATCTTCATGTTAAAATTTGTTATCTGACAACAATGGTGGAAAAATGATGATTATAGTGAGGAAAAAAGATAATCTTTTATTGGCAAATGACAGTTGTGACCTTATTAGATTTTTAGCAATTGAGTTTATAATGTGGCCCAAAACACTCTTGTCTTTAAATTTTTAATGGGTTGACTTGACAAATATCAAATGAGCTGGATAATTAAGTTTGACACAGACTTTTCCAGCGGGCTATTTAATTCGATTCGTCTCATTCCACAGTCCGTTATCCATTTTCATTTATTTTTTTCTTTCGCCTCCATTAATTAATTCGACATCATTTCCTAGACAAAGAGAAAACTCGTACAGAGTTGATTGCAAACATGTTCGACTTTATTTGTTTGATCGACAAGTTTGATTAGCTATTTGAGTTTGACTTGTTTAAATATATAAGCGATTCGAGATTGAGTTTTTCCAATTCAAACCGACATATGTTAGCAGATAATTTGTTTATAATCATAACCAAAAGTAGTTACAGGCCGAAATCGTCGATACCGGGCCGAGAGTTGGAGGAGCATGAAACGCGAACATATGTACGGGTCGGTTCATTGAATTGTCGATTACTGTTCGTCCGATTCACTAAAAAATACAAAATAATTAGAATAATATTAAAAAAAAAAACGAACCTCGGGTTCCGGTTCCAGTTCGGAACCAAAATTGCATGTTCAAAATGTATAAACTATAAAGTATTGTACATGAACCGAACTGGTCAAAACCACGGGTTTGTTCAAGACCATGGTCAACGGGTCTGCTTGTGTCGGTTTGGGCCGAACCGACATGTTGGGTCGGCCCATGACCATGTCTACAAGGTTCCAATAATAGTTAAAATAATATGCAGCCCCAGGTTAAAAAAATTCCTGGCTACGCCCCTGCTAGTGTAGTAGTATTGATAAAAGTATAATATTAGAATTACAATGTTAGGATTACCATGTTAAAGAGGATAAATAAAATTGAGCACTGCAGAAGGTGCATCTCCTAAAAATAAGGTGGCCAAGCAAAGCATTGGACAAGTGAAATCCACTTGCCGCCACCCCCAAAATATACTTCACTTACATCAATCTAACTAACCTTCCTTCTTCACCAGATCCATTCACCATTCGCCATACCAAATTAATTACCAATTAAGGGAAATCAGCAGCTACATTGATCACCTATCTCTTTTTCATGCATTCAGGTAGTGTTTCCTTCTCCTTTATCTTGTCCTTTTAGGGACATCCGATAAAAT